AGTCGCGCGATGCGCGCTGAGAGCCACTGACTTCCCCGATCCCCGTCGGGGTGGGGAACTTCATCTTCAGATGGTAAATTGAAGTGACCGCCTTGAACTGTCTTAGTAGAGGTCGCCCAAGGATCCCGTTGAAGGCTGACGGGCAGTCCACCATCAAGAATTCAATCATTCTGGTCATTCGTCAAAATCGCCCAGCGTGACCGGGAGTAAGATTGTTCCCTTGGGGAGTAGATGATCTCCTGTGAATCCGTATAGCGGGAACGAGGTAGGTTTCAGGTCGGCCTCGTCCAAATTCATCCTCTCGAAGGTAGATGCGAACAGGATATTCACGGCACTCCCGTTATCCACCAGCATTCTCTGGGTGTTATAGCGCCCTATCAGGGGAGTGATTACAAGGGCGTCATCGTGGGGATGGTGTAACCTGGCCGCATCTTGTTCGGAGAAGGAAATCTCTTCCTCCCGGTGAATCTTTTGTGGTCGTCGATCCGCACTCATTACTCTAATGGGGTCGTGATGAGCTTCACGAGCATACATTTCTTGGGCACCTCATGAATTTTCAGCAAAATGTGGTCCCCCGAAAATCAAGTTGAGACCGAGCACCCCTTTCTGATCGCGACGCTTCTTACTTGGCTCCCCCCGATCTTTTTCTTTCGAGGGAGCAAAGTCATCGATGTATTCCTTGAAATGCCCCTTCTTGATAAGTTCTTCGATTGCTTGCTTCAGGGCTCGGCACTCGTTAGTATGGTGCCCATTGTCCCGATGATAGCGACAGTACTTTTTATTATTTCTGGCTGTCGCAGAGGTTTTCATGGGTTCGGGTTCTCCGAGCAGACTGGCTTCTTCGGATTTATCACGGATGGCTGATACAGAGGCGTTCAGCGGAGTGTATTGGGGCCTGTCGCGGTCGCGACGAGGAATCGGGGCATAGGATTTCTTGTGCTCGTAGCGGGGTTTCTTTCCTTTTCGCTAATCGTCAATATCTCATTTGCGATCAGCTCTTCTACCTTCTCCTCGACCAGACATACTACCCGAAGATCCGTGATCGCGACGTCGTAGTGCCACCAATGAATTCTCTATGCGGAGGTACTTTTCTGCGAGGTTGTAGAATCTGGTGAGGGAAACATCATCCTCAGCCTGTAATTCTTTCCACAGGTCGGTTTGCGGGCGAACCCCAGCTATTATGAGAGTTCGGATTGACTCTTCGGGGGCGTGAGCCACCTTGTTGAGTTCCCTGTGGAAACGGTCGATATAGGATTGTAGGGACTCGTCCCTTTCTTGCCTTATATTGCTGAGATAGCTCAAAGGCATCGAGAACTTCCGATTTGCTTGGAAATGCCGTAGGAACGTCGTGCTCATCTGAGGCCACGAACTGATCGTTCCCGCTCGGAGCGACCTTAGCCACTGTTTAGCATGAGAGGTTAGAGTCACAGCCAGACAACGGCATTTTCCAAGATCTGAAACCTGGTGGAGCTCCATCAGGTCATTGAACTCATACAAGTGATCTTGCGGGTCATGGTTCCCATCGAACGGCCACATGTCAGGCATTCTAAAACCTGGTGGGAGTGGAGCAGCTAACACTTCGGGAGAGAAGGGGGATGCAAAGGCGACCTGGGCCTGCTCGTTCTGTTGCTCTCTCAGCCTGTCCAGAGCTCGCTGCAACTCCTCAATTTGCGGTAATGGAGCCAGTTGGGGATTGCTTTCCCCCACGCGAGTCCGGCCTTCGCGATTATGATTCAGGATAGTACGAAGGTCGGACTCCTCTTCGCCTCAACCGGCGTTTCCGACCGCTTTCGACACACGCTAGCTGGAGGCGTGTGAAGGCGATGGATGGTGCGAGGTATTTTCACGACTCTCGCAGTGGTACGAACCGCCCCGCGAGGTGTAAGGAACATCCTCACGATAGCGATCAGGATCGTTCCTCTGGCGGTGATAAGAATCGCCCCGACCAGCACTTTTGTTTGGGTTCACCTGCGACGTGGCATGGGACAGCTCGGGATTTATCTTTTCGCCGAGTCTCAGTTTTGCCGGCACCCTGCTCGGGGCACAGTTTGTGTTCGCTGGCCCTTTGGAGCTTGTATGCTTGCTTTTTGCCACTTGCTTACCCTTGCGTCTATGCACTGCAGTGCTCGCAGCACGGGCTATTTCCCTTTGCCGCGCTTTCGCGCGACCTGCAGGCGTTTTTGGCGGTTGCACTGCCCCAAATGTTCTAGAGGGCACGCCTTGGTCCAAACGGTCCAACCTTTGGTTGACCGTCAGAAGAGTATTGTCGAACCTCTCCAGGTAACCTCTGATGGTGGGGTCAAGCTGCAAAGTTGTTGGGATATCCACCGCAGTAATTTGTGGGGATGGAAGTACTCTGGAAGGGGTATCCCCTTGGGTCTGGGGAACTCCCTCAACGCGCTGGTTAGCTTGTTCAGGTTCAGATTGGCGGGCCATCTGTTGCTATAGGACCAGTAGGTTAGAGATTCTCTTGATGAAGGGTGAACACTAAATCTGGGCTCTCCTTCTAGCGTCAAACTGTTGATGCGTGATTTTTGACACCAACTAATTGACACGTGCGCAACGTTGATTGATCAAGAGGCACACGTGATTATGAGTAAAAAGAGAAATAAATGTAGTGAGAGCCTTTTAAAGTGGTTCGGATGCTAAGGTAGCAAGTCCTACGTCCACTGATTTGTATTAATATAGTGGGTCAGGTCGCAACAGCGGACTAACTTACAAATGATTGGTAAGAAAAGTAAATACAAAGTTAACAGAGAGAGAGAGAGAGCTAATTTCAAATGTAAAAATAGCCGAATCCCTTTAATGAAGGGGTCTTCCTCTTTTTATAGTGAAGTTAGTGCAAGTAATCATCAGTAAATCCATGGGTTGGTGTGAATGTCAGGAGTAAATCTGGCTTTATGTCACATTTCCCACCTTCCAAACTGATTTTACGCGATTTAGAGTAGGAAAAGGGACACGTGGGAGCTCCATAGCTATTGGCAGGCCTGACGTGGGTTTACCGTTCTGACAGGAGCAGGTCACCCCACCCCCCCCATCACGTGATTTCCTACGTCAGCCCTTTATTTTCCAGTAGTAACAAATATGATGTGTTGATATATATAATTTTCAACTCGAGGGAAAAGATAAAAAAACTTGAGAAAGAAAGAGGCATTAATTTACATACCAATAACATCACCAACGTGGAATTTCTTGGTCGAAGCCCATTTATTGTAATCGACATTGCCCACAACAGTCCACCCAGTAGAATCACCAACTTTGTAAACAGCACCAAGTGAGACTCCAAAAACAGTTGTCAACAGCAGCAAAGCCGCCACATTCTTAGCAAAAGCCATTACTAATTAATTATCAACTCACGAGAGCAGGGAGATCAAATGGTGAGAAAATCCAGGGTGCTTGGGCGTATATATAATGAAATTTGTAGTCCAGAGTCATGGCTTGATTATGTTTACTATTCCTATGGAGTATAGGATTCCCTCTTCCCTTTAATTAGTTATCTTATAGAGTTACGCTGCCAATCAACTTTCCTAGAAAGACGATGGAACGTCGTCTAATTAACTAATATATTTCAAAGTAAAAGTTTAACATATTTATTTAGATAAGTATCATAAACATGATTATATTTTATAAAATATCTTACATGTTTGGGCAATACAAATTAATATATAACAATTCTTTCAAAATTAAAGTGGAAAAGCCTCACCATTTGTGAATTGCTTTAAAGTGCCATCACTTTGTACAGTTCGACTTCTTCCTTCTGGGTAATCGACAATCTTTCATCAAGATTTGAGTTTAACTAAAAAAAAAAAATTTACTTGCGCGTTTTACTTATATAAATATTCTTAGTTGCTTATTTGGTCATATTTCTTTCTGAACTTGTCATCAATCCCTCTTCTAATAATGATATTCGTATTGTTGATATAAAAAGGACGATATTATAAATTGCACATGATCAGTATGCAAACCAAATTGGAAAGTAGATGCAAATGTGAATTTGAATTTAAAATGAAGGATCATGCATGTACTGAACGGCTTAAGAAAATATAATTAATACCATGTTAATTACCAGTTAATAAATAGTTCTTCATGTACTAAAGTATTAACTTGATTGATCACCCATTTTTATTGAATGTCAAACTTCCGGAGTTGCTAACCAGTTGGTTCAGGAAAAAGTTTTGCAAATTGTATGTGCTGTCAAAATAGTTGGACTTAATATTAAAAATGAGGCCATAAGAAAGCATAAATATTCAATATACACTACTTATATATATATATGATTGTCACATTTTTTTTTTTTTTCGATTACATAATATCAACATAAATTAATTTGTATATATTAATCTTTGTCAAGAGAGTTGAATGTGATGTATTATTAGACTTAAAGTTTCTTTATTCTTCGTGTACATGTGTAGACTTCTAACCTCCTGAGCATGTTATTTACTGAAGATTAGAGTTTAACAAATTAAAATGGATTTGTTATGCCATGTTCTATTGCTTATCCGGTTCTATTTCTCTACGACAAAATGATGATATAACTTATCAACAAATATACAAGTTAGTTGGGAAGTAAATGAGAAAGTCTAGCAAGAATTGGTGCGTGAGAGAACAAATACATAACATGTGTGTTGATGTGGAGCCCCTTTATTATTGGTAGGATGTATATGCTAGACTTTTCCAAAGTTGATAAATATACGAGAATTTAAAATGCTATATGCATTTAATCACATAAAATTGATTACATTGTGTTAACTGATTTATAAATAAATTATTTAAACTTCGTGTATAGTTTATACAGAAGATTAATTCAAGAATTAGATGTGAAAATATCGTAAAGTGGTCTAAATTTCATATAAAAAAATGTAAATAAAAAATTGGTTCATTATAGCTAACATCCAATTTGAAGCGAGAAACTAAAGGCAATTAATTCATTAAAAGTATATACTATTTTAACTATAAATTATAATATATAAATCATATACTAGAAAACCTACCTACCTCAATATCGTGTCCATTAAATAACAATTAATTGAAACATTAAACCTTTAGAGATCCAACCAATATTATAATATCTTACAAACTTTTTGGCAATATTATCTGACAAACCTGTACGTCTAGTACATGCAAAAGCAAAATCACTGATTAAAATTGCTGATAAGAGGTTGAATTTATATGGACAGATCGATGAAGCAGTGTTCTTGGTGGAGCAGTCGCAGCTTCACGGCGATTAAGCGCCAGAAATGGGAGCTGGTGCTGGTGCTGGAGAGGCAGTTGGGGGAGGAGAAAATGGAGTGACCTTGATGTCAACCTTCATTCCCATTTGGCAGTGACCAGCAACACCACATATAAAATACCAGTGGCCAAGCGTTTTGAGGGTGATAGCGTCGAACCCGCTGTCGTAACTAACGATGGGAGATGTTGCATTGCAATTCTTAAAATTTTGGTGCGTTACTTCTCTCACGTTATGAAATAGACTGTTGTAATTGAATACTGCATATATAGCCATATATAGTATACATAAACAAAAACACTGTTAATTAGATCAAAATATTACAGTATGATCAAAAGGTCACCCATGAAAGTATTGAATGAAGAGAAAATAAAAGCAAAAGGAAATTACAAGCATCAAAGAACTAGCTTACTAATAATATCTCCAACATGAAAGGTCTTGTTAGAAGTCCATTTGTTGTAATCGACTATGCCTAAAATTGGCAACATCCAGCCAGCAGAGTCGCCCACCATGTAAACAGCACCCAAAGACACTTGAAAAAGAGCTGCCATCATCAAAAAAGCTTGTAGATTCCTAGTTGCTAAACCCATTAATTATCAATCGACCAGGAGAAAAGATCAACAGATGAATGTGCGAGAAAGGGTTCAGCGCTTGGATATATATATAAATTACTGTATATATACTGAAATGGGCATCCTATATATGCCTAATCCAGATTTTATGAAAACACTGATTAATGACGTGGTATCAGCATCAAGCTTTCAATTATTATAAGGTAATAATTAAAATAGAGGATTTTTATTGTGTCAAAAGAATTTCTCCATATATATATATATTTGCTTTTTTTTTTTTTTTAACCAGAGAAATCAAGTAAAAGAAAATGAAATTTTCAAAATTCAGTGTCACAATTTTGATACAAATTTGTTTTCTTTACTAATATATAAATTCTTTATATGGTCCCAGAATAAGATAGAATTTCATATTATAAAATTAATGAATCAAATGTTCACCTAATTTTAATTTATATTCTTCATCATATAATCGTATCTACTCTATCATAGAAATTAGGAACTACTTGATAAGTTTGCTGTGCCTGTAATTAATTAAAGAACTATGGATATGAAAAAATAAGATGTCAAGTTTAATTAAGTTAAAGACTTTTAAGTTTTGTAATTAATTAAAGAACTTGGATGAGAAATTATACACTACAAAAAAAAAAAAAACAAAATTTAAAAAAAAAAAAATTGGGCCCTTTTTTACCCTATTTTTGAGGGCCCTAGGCAGGTGCCTCAACTGCCTACCCCTTGAGCCGGCCCTAATCTGTTTTCATGCATGTTTGGCCAACCAAAGAAAACTGAATTTGAACATCCAATATTCATTATTTCATACGTAATATAATTTACAGATAACTGATATCCACTGCAATGAAGATATATAAGGCCAATTTATTGGTTGTTTAGCATTAATCAACTCAACAGTAAAAATATCCTGAACCACAAGCATTTAAATTCTAGTTAACACAAATAACCATGTCCAGATGAAGACAGATCGACCCAATAGTATGAGAAATCTGTCTAGTACGCAAATTCTGCAGTGACAAAAATTGCAAAGGTAATCAATGAGGACCAAAGCTTGAACGATTGGAGAGAGGGAGCGGATCCTGGTGGCGATGAAGCGCTTGGTGTTGTTTCTGGGCTGGGAGATGGGCCTAGAGAATCTCGAATAACCCTAATATCGACCTTCTGTCCAGCTTGACAGTGACCAGGGAAGCTGCACAAGAAATAGAAGTGGCCATATGATTTGATGGTGATAGAGTCAAAGCCAGTGGTGTAGGTTGCCGCGGCAGATGTTGCATTGCAGGACCGAAAAGCTTGATGAGTAACTTGCTTCACGTCGTGAAGTTTATTATCGTATTTGAATACTGTTTACATATAAAACCCCACTTGTTACATATGATTTGTCAATATATTTATGTAGGAAGCAAGCATACATGCATTTAATCTAAAAAAATGGAGTTATTCATTAATCTAGTTTACGTAAAGCCTAAAAGTCATTTAATTATCTAATGTGGAATTCAAATCTCCATACTTAACAATCTTTTTAGATGAGATCATCAACCGCTAAGTGTCAACTGATAATCAACTCAAAAGAATAAGATAAAATGATCATTCTTCTTCTAATAAATTAATTTCGGATCTGTTTGCTCATTTAAATTAATCTTCAAGTGTTTGATTAAGCGAAGTTACTCGTTCTTCTTATAAACCCCAAAAACTACTCAACATATCGATCTCCGTAAACAAATTTAATAGAAAAAATAAAAAAGGTCGTTGAAAATTAAAGAAAACATATATATATATAAAAATATACGAAAGCAGAAGAGTATCGGAGAAAGAATATACCAATAACATCTCCAACATTAAATTTCTTGGCAGAAGCCCACTTGTTGTAATCAACGGTACCCACACGCCATCCAGTTGAATCACCAACAATGTAAACAGTACCAAGAGAGACTCCAAAAAGAGTTGTCATCAACAAGAAAGCAACTCCATTCTTTGAGAAAGCCATTGCTAGTCAGAAGATGAGGATGGATCAAACAATGAAATAAGGTTACACGGTGCTTGCTTTGATTACATTAGGCATACAGTATAGGATTCATACTAATGAGTTATGGTACGTACGTTCCTACAAATTAAATGGAAATTCCTTGATTCTTTTGATTTGTTTCCATGATTGGATAATATAGTACATGAAGGAGGAAAATTTTGTCAAGCCGTTTAATTTAATTGGATTAGAATTCAGTGGCTTCGAGGCCGGCTCATGATAAATTGGTCTAACTTTAGAAAAGCCAGTTCTAAATTTCCATTGGTGCTGTTTCTTCTACATATAGAATATTTATTAGATAGGCTTTTCATATATAATTTATTTACTGTTCAATTTGTCACCTGTAAAAATGTTTTTAAGTTGGCAAGTTTTTTTTCTTTTTAATGTTTCTTCAATTAATATTATAACCGTAACCAGACCAATAATCGATTTTTATAATTAATAAATTTTAATATTGTTAGATTAACAAAAAAATGGACACAGTTACATTGCAAGACCGGACTCAACTTTAACCCAATTTCGGGGTCCAGATCTGGATTAGTTTGTTGGACCCGACATTCGATATTTACTGAAGAAAGAGATTTGGATCCGGCTTATATCTGAAAAGTTTTTATGATTTATTTCATTAGATTAACAATTTAAAGAATCTTAACAAATCCAAAACCAATCCTTTACAATGGAAGAATTGAATATAAATATATATTTTTTTTTTTACCATTTATTATCTAATATAAATAAGTGGAGTAATTACTATATCATTCTAAATTTGGGAAGTATATAACAATTGATTTGAAAAGAATTGGGAATTTTAAAAACTTTCCTCTGCTTTTAAAACTTACCATAAACATCTATATTTAACCTATATTTCAAACCCATAATAAATATTAAAAATCTCCATCCATAAAATTGGAAGTTTACTATAAACATGCACCAAAAATATCAATAAGATTTCAAAAATTAATTGGGGAGGGGAGGGTAGGGGTACAGGGTATCACTGACAATTTGGAAGCCATGTTTTTATGATTGTTGAATGTTGACCCTACTAAAAAAGGTTTTGGCTTATCATCTCAGTCGGACTAATACCAAATTTGAAGTTCAAGACTGGGAATGTGGGCCTAAATTTGCTTTGACTATAACTATGATCACTTTCCGGATTTGGTAAGATGGGGCTATCAAAAAAAATGGTCCACATGAAAAGACGTCCAAGACGACTCGGAGCCCATTGTAATTGTTTTAATAAAAATGGAATAGCAAAATGTCATCTCCTTTTGCCCCATACCAACCAACTATAAATCATGACAACCTCCCTTTCAACAACGCCCACCACCACCCATACTCTTTAAAAAGAAAAAGTGATTTTGACAAGCTCCTACTTCATCATCCTGGGCAATTGCAATTAGAGTATTCATTAAGTTTCCTTTGTTGATTGGTCCGAATTACCACTACTTATGCCTTGGATTGTTACTAGTTTATATGATTTGATGTGGATTACGATACATAGATGGCCTCAAAATGCGGTGTGCTTTTCTCTTTCTGCTATTACTTAGGTTTATTAATTCGCTGGGATGTCAAACTGCAACTTTTAATATGATAATATCATACATTCCTCGCCTTATTCTACAGGAAATCTTTATACATGTTTACCTTCTCGATCATATAGAATAAAGTGTAGTTAAGTAAACTAACCATAAATAAGCCAAAAAAGACAGACATTGTGTAGTAGGCGAGTCTAATTTTTCAAAATATTGAGTTACATTAAGATTATAATTGTATGATTTGGCCATCTAGAATCTCAAGAAGAAAATCATGATGAACGTCGACGATCTGCAATAGAATAATAAAACATGTTGGCCAGAATCTTTGTCTCTCTCTCCTTCAAAAAATAAAATAGTTCCTAGAATGTCGTTGCTAGAAAATAATAAAATTAGTAATAACACCGAAGTCAAATGTTTTGCTTTCTTCGTTCAACTAAATTAATTATTGATGTAGGTGGAATAAAATAGCTACTCTTTGAAAACTGCTTTAGCAAATGGTCTTAGTTCAATTTTGACCTTTGCCAAACACTAACAGTCTTCTGCATAAAGTATGAAATAGTCAACTTGTCAGTAAATTACTTTGATGATTCATAACAAGCTAGATTCATAAAATATGCATATAGAAATCGATTTCTTCAATGGTGGAGCACATGTTTGAACGGTTCAGACATTGAATTTTATATTCAAGTAAGATGATATCTTATTGGGTAACTTTGGGACCTTCAATAGATTCTTCTCTCTAGTTGTCTTAACGCTTTAGTGGTTGGAGCTCGCAGTCAAGAATGGTTCAAAGCTTAATCACAGCGAAACTAGAAATCCTTTCACATTTGTGTTTGGACTAATTGTACAAGCAAGTGAATTGATATAGACATAAATCATCAAAAAAAAATGGGATATAGAACAAAGCTGTAAACAATTAAGTATTTTTATTGATTCAACATCTGGCTTTGTTTCGCTTTAGTTAGATAAGATACCAACCTGAAAGCTACACATAACTAATAATAAAGACTTGTTTTCAACTTGCTTATGAGTCGCAGCCAAGCTCGCTCGCTCGATCTATCAAACAACAATATACGAGATTGCTCATTTGATTACATTCATGCAGAAGTTTAAGTAGTGCAACTTATTAATTGAAATTGATAACACTAGTGTTACTGACAGAAGGTACTATGCCCAGAGTTGAAATTTGATCTTGGAAGAGATAGGTGTATGCGTTTATATCATGATCACAATTAATAAACGTACTGTTTGAAAATATATTTTTTCCAGGTTAGGTGAACAAATATAATTATTAATGGATTGGAAAAACTCATTTGCCTAACATGTAAAGAATGAGAAACAAAATACTACGTTCAAAGATGCTAATTAGTGCTACTTATAATCATGTATCCTTTTCAATTTTTCATCGACCTTTCATTTCATTTTCAAAACAGCGTTGCAGACAATCACCACACGTTAGTACATGTGGATTCTGCAATGCCAGATGCCTCCAGCTCTAGCAATAGCATGTTATGTTTGAATTCCACCACAACAACAGTTACCAAATTTCTGATTTGTGATTTGTGATGTTTGGAGCTTCAATTTTCTCAATCTCTAGCTGCCCTTACACCCACGCTTAACAGTTTAAGATACTAAAGTCAGAGAAGATCCTTTTCTTAATCCGGCTTCTTAATTTTTCTAATGCTGAATTTGGAGTAATTTGGTTTTCCTTAATGCAGATCGAATTGCTGTAATATTTTATAGAGAAGGTCCAAGGTCAAAGCATTTTGTTAAGTTGAATTTTTCGTCATACCTACACCTGTAAATCTATATATATAATTATATGTTTCCATGTTTATAAGGTTCTTAGTACTCCCAAACCTAACAATTAACTCGTCTCCATTGACTAGTACTTCAATAACAATGTCGTGTACCATATTTTAGTCATTGATTGAGCTCGAGAGGACAAAAAGGTCAACAATCTCAAGCAAGATCTATTCATTGTGGGTTTTATTTTTATTTTTTGTCTTCTATCAAAAGTTTCAGCCCTTAAAATCCTTTTAGATTATGTATATATATGATCAGATAGGACATTCACGACACTTGTAAGTTGTAACCACCATTATAATACATTCAGATTTTAGTGAAAAAAAAAAAAAAAAAAATAATAAATATTCCTAACCTGAAATTTACTCGAATTAATATAGTCGTAAAATACTGCAAATGGGTGCTCTTAGAGTTGTGCAATGCAAAAGTCTTACCTAAATGATGCATTTCGTCTATGATAGCGGTCGATAATATTATTAGATTTTGAAAATGTGGAATGGATACGATATTTTTGGTCTACTTGAATAGTTTTCAAATATTACGACTCTATATGCAAGACGACTTCTAATATTGTGGACATATAATAATTAAGTAATGAACTTTGCACAGGTTTCTTGAATTCAAGTTCAACTATTCAAGAAGAATAAGATGATTTTGCATCTTTTTAAGCATTAATGATGAGGTCAAACATTCATCAAAAGAAATATCGATATGTGTCCAACTTAGATCCAATACAGGGTCATTATTCATAGTTTGCGTAAAGAAAGTGAGGGCGGTATATCTCCATGATTGGATTTGAAGATTATAAATATAAATCATGCCATTCTCCATCTAATCAATCACTTACAGCCGCAGACATGGAAAATATTAAAATATAAAAATACATAAATTTTCTCTTTGATTTAAATTGCAGAAGATGGATCAAGAATGCGGTTACTTCCCTGATTATGAATAAAGTTTAAAATAATTGGATACTTTAGCATATTTCTTGAATTAGATACTTGCTGAAACAAGTCACAGTTGTAAATCCTGCTAAAAAAGGAGTAAACGAAGAGTACAACGTATAGAATTGATTCTGGTTCAAAGGTAACTAGCTGGTTGCAAACTATAAGCAAAAAGTTAGAAAAAAAAGGTGGTAGTAGTACTGAATATTATATGAAATGAAGCCTTTGAATCTTAAAAAAAAAAAAAAATAACAAATTGAGAAATCAAGTATAGCTAATGAAGACATTGAAAAAGTTAGAAAAAGGTGGTAATAACATAAGACAACATTAATATAAGCTTCATAAATGATAAGCATGGTTTTTTCAACTTTATGCACTGATTAGTTAATATAATTATATTTTTTATTTGATTATTCGTGAAAAAAGAAGGAGAAGAATACAATGTAATTATAATCTGCAAGGACTTAATCAAAATTAGTTTGACTTAATGAAACAAGAAGCGTGCCACAAAATTCGGAAGGTAACGGCGATGAGATGACGTGAAACCCCAACAGCTACAGCATAACAGTTGTAGGCCAAATAAATGAAAAAAATTAAAAAATAAATAAAATTTCCCACGTGCCAGTTACGGTCAAATGCCGGTGCCCAATCCTGACACGTGTAAGCCGATCCTCACCAA